AGTTCATGGCCTAAGACTTTATAAGTGGTGAAATTGTTAAACCTGTTCTATAATGGGTTCCTAATTCTTTAATGATTTGTTGGTGGTGGTTGATAAAATTTGTTTGGAGGAGCTTTAAGAGTAGTTTTAATTATTATTTTATGGTATAGTGATGATGCCACTTGCTCTCGGATAAATCTCCCTGGAGTTTGTCCAAGCCTCAGAATCATTGTATTATTCTAGTGATGTTGCTCCTATGTATAGCAATGAATTATCTTTTGTTTCAATTGATTTGGAGGCTAGATTACACAAAGATCCACAAGTTTTGCTCTCTGCAAATCCTGTCTATAATGGGCCTCAATAGGTCTATCTTTTTTATATTTTTGATTTTTAGAAGATGAAACCGTTAAATGATAGTTTTGATTTGGATTGTAATTCAAATTGCTGTCACTGCAATATGAAATTAAATGTTTGCTTATGACTCTTTGTTTAACTTTTTGCGAAATTGAATTGATTCCGTTTAATTGTGAATTTTGGTGTTCTTTAGTCGGGCATGAGATTACCATCATTAAACCTCCATCCTTAGCGGTAACTCGCCCACGACCATCTAACACCATGTGTTTGTAGTATTGCTTCGATGAGATGGATTTATCTATTATTTTATTGCTTCTCATCTCTTTAATTTTTATTTTTCTGTCTATATTTTTCAATTTCATTTTCCATCTATCCAGTTTATTTTTATGTTTTTAGTCTTGAGCTTTTGGGATTTTGCGGGTTTGTGTAATCCAAAAATTTCATATTTGTTTGATCAAGATTCACAACAAGCAACACATTAATTACCACAAATCCCAACAAAGAGAGAGTTATTTTATTATCATTATGTTGTTGTTATGTAGTGTGATATATAAATGGTGTATACACGATTGCCCCAAAAGCGTGCTCTATGTGAAGTTGTGGTTCGTCTCTTTCATGATTTTGAAGGTGTTTTGGGGCATGAATAAAATCAAGGCTTGCCTCATATTTGAACTCACCAAAATGGTCGCTATACGTCTATATGTATATTGAACTATGTTTAGTGAAAATTACTACATGAATCGTATATAGAATCACATGACAATTTGATTTAATCTTTATTTGAACACAAAATGGTCTGTGTTCTATTTTTTTTTCAAAGGTGCCTATTCCATAACCTGACGTGCTTTATATTATGATTTTAAAAGATTTCGATATAAGTAGTAATGAAACTAAAACTTTGACCATAAACATGCACACATGCTTGAGATATGGCCGGTAGTTAAGTTTATAGTCATTGTTTGTCCATGATTGTTTCTTATAAATAGTTTTTGATATGGGTACTCTATCGATTGGAGTGTGATCTTAAAGGTTTGAATTGTATTGTGATGCTTTATTTATAAACAGAGTTCTTTTGCCCAAGTTTTTGTTATGATCGGTATGAAAGTCCAAAAGTTTTAGTTGCTTCATGTTATATGGGTGCATTAAGTGGAGTTGAAAGTTTTCTTGATTGTTAGAATTTTTATTTCTGTTTGTTGTTTTTCTTGGAGAATCAAAAACTTTAATTAGGTGCCAATTTTAAGGGTTGGGTAGTGGAAATTAGGATTATAGAAGTTTGTTTTCAATGGAGAAAATTGATTATGTGAAACTAAAAATGTGTTATTTTGTTTTACTTCAAGAATTTGTATTGCATTTTTACACACATATGCAAAAACAAACTCTCACATGTCATATATGCAAAAACCCCTTCCCTCGTCCTCTCTACTTCTCCTTCCCTTCCCTCTCATGCACACACACACGCGTGTGTGCAGAAACCCCCTCCATTTCCCCTATCCCCTCTACTCGCCCCCCCCCAAAAAAAAAAACACACACACACACACAAAACCCATCTACAAACTCTTACCCTCTTTGCCCCCACTACACTCACACACAAACCCCCTTACTTAGTTTCATTGTTAGGGCAAATAGGTTACTTAGTTGCATTTTATTTGGAAATGATGGTGTGCAATAAATTGATTTTTCAAATGTTAATTGAGGTTGTCTCGAAAATTTGCTGGAACCTTAATCATTTAAATGCTTTTTTGAAGCTACCTATGTTCTATAGTATTTTAGAAATATTTGGTGAAAACTCTCACCCTCAAATTCAAACCCTATACGATTTTGCTCTTCTCTAATTCCCTATGTATACATACTCATTTATTGAGATGCTATTTTTTTAAGGGTTTTTCATAACTTTCATAAACTCATTTATTGAAACTTCTGAAGTATGCGTGCATTCAAAGGTTTTGAATTTTTATTTTCATAGTTTTTTTTTTTTTTGAAAAAGTAGAATGGTGGTTTTATTTTCATAGAATACATTTCATTATTTTGTGGTTTTAATTTTTATAGGGTGGTGGTGAAGAATGAATAATATTGGAGAAATGTATTGATTGATCTCCTCATGACTACTTTCTTGAGTTTGTCGTTATTAGTTATCAAATGTTCAAGTCCTTGGTATTAATGCCTCCACCCCTTACTTTTTATGCATACTATGTGGTTGACAAAATGGCAAAGAGAAGAAAAAAGGCCCTTGACAAAGACTGAAACCAAAAATCAATGCCTTGTGTTCTAAGTGGTTGATGAAATGTCAGAGTGAAGAAAAAAAGTCCATTTTTCATTTTCTGTGCTTTAATGCTTCTTGCTTCCTTATTTTAAGCACAACAGACACTCACATGATTTATGCATGTTGTGTATAAAATATGGGTTGCGATAAAATTATTTTTACTCCAATACCTGTTGGGGTACTCGTCAAAAACTCCAACATAGAAATTAATAAGTAATCTTACTCTTTGATCTTGATAAAAAAAAAAAAACCTTACTCTTTGATATGATCTGTCAATGTGGGTTTGAAATTAATTTTTTTTGGCAGTTGAATATGTAGGGCTTTAAAATAGTGTGAATCGTTATTTTTCAAGTAATTTGTGCAATTGGATTTTGAGTAGACTATGTTAGGCATAATGATTGTGATATTTTTTGAATTGGGTTGACTTAATTATTTGAATTATGATTGTATGGCCTCTCTTGCTCTCCAAATAGATTATTTCCCACTATTACTAATAGATAGTTGCAATTCAAATATCTACCTTTCACTTGCTATTAAAAATTGATTTTTTTGGTTTTGTTTCAAAATTTCGAAGAAACTTACTACTGGTATGTTAACTTTGAATTGCTTTGGCCATTCATAGGGAGACTTAAAACCAAATGAAGTTCATACTTTTGGCTATGGAAGGAATTGGATTTTAGTTGATGAGTTGAGAAGTTACATTCATGGGTGAGATTTCATTACGTTTGGTTTTTACTCCATGGTACAAGCTTTTCATACCCAGTAGGAATAGAATGTTTCGTGCAATAATTATGTCATACGATTGTGTTATACTTGAAAATAAATATACCTAATGTGTACATTAGAAAAGCTTTGATTGCTTGGAATATTTGGGAAATACTACTTTCTACAGTAGTTGTACTTTACTTTGATCATTCTTAATTGATATCTTATTAATTTAGTTTTGATCCACTAGCTTGGTGCTTTTCGACTCAATTTTTATCTCTTTTTTTTTGTTGGTATATTTGGATTTTGATAAAATTTAGTTTGTTTACATGTGTTTTGTTACATTAAATGATGAGCTTTGCAATAATACTTGGTGGTTTTTTACACTTCATTTTGTGTATAAGCATTATCTGGCATTTGGTGAGTGTGGAAAACGGGTATGACATTCAATCCATGATCAAGAGCAAGGCTTTGATAAATATGGGTTGGTGGGCCAAATTTCTATGTAGTGGATTGATATTTGTTAGTATAATACGTGTTTGATAAAATGTCTTAATTGGTGGATTGATAATCATTACGCTAATATTTGTTGGATTCAAATTGTAATGCTATATGAGGAATGTGTTGATATTAGTAAGTATAATAGTTTGTGTTTGGTTATGCAATAGTTTGTATTGGACAATGCAATGGTTTGTGTTGGGCAATGATACATATAATTAGATATCTGTAGGCTGGTTGAGATTTTCTTTGGTTCTTTTTTTTAGAGTAAATTTTGCGAATTTAAAAAAAAAATAGCAAGGGTTATATTGATTTCAATTTCTTTAATTAAAACAAATGAAAGAAAAACTATTTCAAATGGAATGATTTTTTGAAGTGGCTTTAAGCATGGGTTATTAATGGACAAAATTGTTATCGAGATTCTTATTGTTTACTCAGTTATTTCTTGAAGAAGTTTAGGCATTTGAAGTCCCTCTCATAATTTGTGTTATATCTATTAAAGGAGTCGACCCCCAAACTCAAGCATCATCAAACAAATTATTTTGGTAGGCAAATGTGTTGTATTATATAAATTGAGATTCTTATCATTGATAGACCTAACTTTTATGTTTACTTTTGAAGGTGGAAGCTATCAATTTTTTGCACAAAATCTCAAAATTGGGGGAAATTCTTGGAGGTATTTTTTTATACTACATTGTTTTTTTTTTTTATTTTGACGCTTCTCCATAATATTGTGAACTCTCTATGGGATTATAAGTTAGAATTTGTGTTGGGTTCTTTTCCTTTGAATAGGTAATTGGATTGACAGATAAAGTGATGGAGTACTACATTGTGGATTTGTTGTAACTAATAGCTTATTTATATTTGATATGTGATTTGAAGAAATTTCAATTGTTTGTTAATTTTGTTTGATTTCTCATGTTGATGATTTTTACAGTTATTCCATGAATCTGTATAAATGATGCCACCAATTAATTCTTCTTTTTCTGATTTTTGATTTGTAATTTTTTTTCATTACAGTGCCAGTGTCTTAAGGATGTAGTTTACACTTTGATCTTAGTGCGTATCTATATTCAATACTTGAAATTTTTGTGTCCACGATTAATGTTCAATTTTTTGAATTGTACATTATCTTCAGGCACGGATTATCGCTAGTTAGTTTACAAGATTGAAGGCGCTCAGTTAGTGATCTTTCAAATTCTTCATGTCGGCGATGAAAAACATTAGTTTTCGCAATCTGCTCGTGTTCTCTGCATTTCTTCGTCTGTTCTTAATCATCTACGGAGAATGGCAAGACACTCACATGGAGGTTAGATACACAGATGTTGACTATCTTGTATTTTCTGATGCTGCTTCTTTGATGGCATCTGGAAAATCCCCTTACCAAAGATCTACTTATCGATATTCACCTTTGATCGCATTTCTCCTCATTCCTAATTCAATTATTCATCACTCCTGGGGAAAATTTATCTTCTCAGCTTCAGGTATACTACTTTATTCAATGAATGAATTTTTTCATGAATGTTGGATTGTTGGGATTAACTCTTTTTTTTTTTTTTGGGCAAATTGATATATATATATATATATATAAATAGGCGTACCCAGCCCACCACGCTTCCATCATTGTGGGGTTTGGAGAGTGGTAGATGTACATAGCCTTTTACTTTTGCAAGCAAAGATTATTTCTGCGACTTGAACCCGTGATTTTTAGATCACAATAGAGCAAATTGAAACAAATTTGTATAATAACATTAACTCTTGTACATGATTTCATTGAGTTTCTTAGGCTTAACATTTTTTTTTTAATTTTGTAATTGATATTTAGTGATGTGGGGTTGTTTGAATGCTCTTGAATGTGGTATATCATTTTGAACTTTGTGGTCTTTTATTAAAGTATTGAGTAAATCAATGGTGATAGCTAGAGGTATACAACTTTGTGTTTTATTTGATACCCATTAGTTTTCTTCTTTCCTTTCCTATTTCTTTTTCTATGTTCTTTTTCTGTGTATTGGGTATTAATTAGTTACTTGTTCTAGTCCTGATTTTAAGGTTGTACCAAATGGTGCTGTAAACTATAGCTGTGTGTTTCTGTTTCATGTTGATTTAAACTTCAAACCATTCGAGGTTTGTAGGATCTCAAGGATTTCCCTGGACTGTGTAAAAACATTTGACACCTCTTGAGTATCTGCAAAATGTTCCTGTCTATTTAGAAATAAGGATAATGTCAAAAATACGATCGCAGAGGCATGTGTTTAGTTTAAAGATCAATTACATTTCTTATTTTCTGTTACGTGTACATATTTCTTTTATCACCTAGGGTGTCTGCACTATTGTGTATGTTAGAAGATTAGACTAAGGTGAAACTTATACTGTGTTCATATGCAATCAGATTTACTTGTCGGTTTGCTGATCCACACCATTTTGAAGCTACGAGGAGTGCCTCAGAGTATAAGCACCTACTGTGCAATGGTATGGCTTGTCAATCCATTTACATTCACAATTGGAACCCGTGGGAACTGTGAGCCTGTAGTTTGTGCCATGGTTTTATGGATAATCGTTTGTCTCATGAATGGTAAGCTTTCTCTGTCTTTGCATTAACTTCTCAAATCAATTGCGTCTCTGAGGTTTCTGAAATGTCAGTACGCTGTTAATCAGGATTTATGCTTTTTATTGTGTTCATACCCATCATCTTACATAAACCTGCTTTCCATCAAAGTTCAACATAATCTAAAAGAAAAGAAAGTGGCATTCGAAGGCTTAAAAGGTATATCAAGGAAGGGATATTCGAAGTCTTTGAAGGAAAGTTCCAATTTTGACATTGCATACTGCATCTAATAATCGTGGTACAAACACATGCTTCTTATTATTGATATACTTTCAAGAAAAAGCATGAACTTTACAGTCCACTGATAATATAAAAGGAAATATTATTTATCTTTTTTATTGCTTGAGAGGGTGAAGCATGCTCATTTGAATTAGTAAAAGTTCTACTTTTGTTGATGATACATTGTAATGAGAACCTTGTTGAAGTTCAACTGTGAAAAGGCTGGAATGGAAAGTTAAATAGCTGAAAAATGTGATGTACTTCAATCTGAAATTTCAAAGAAACAAAGGACTGTCTTGCCTGTACTCTTTTTCAGGTTTTGGATTTGGGATCGCGGTTAGTACCTTTTAACTTTCTTACTGTCATGCTGTTTTCTGGTTTACAGGTAATCTATTGCAAGCTGCTGTTTGGTATGGCCTGGTTGTTCACTTGAGAATATATCCTATAATTTATGCACTTCCTATTATCTTAGTTCTTGATCCTCTCTACTTCCAGTCTGGTAAGAAGCCTGCTGTAATAGATTGGAGTTCTAGTAGAATCAAGTCAGCCTTCAAGTCAAGTAGCACAAAAGGTGGTGATCCACATCATACGTGGGTCTCTTTGACAAGACTGGTTACAGTAAGGAGACTTATGTTCGGGCTGGTTTCTGGGGCTGTGTTCTTCTGTTGCACTGGGTTTTTCTTCTATTTATATGGATGGGAGTTCTTGCATGAGGCGCTGCTATACCACCTTACTCGCACAGATCCTAGGCATAACTTTTCTATTTATTTTTACCACATTTATCTCCAGTACGAACATGAGTTTTCAGCCTTAGAAAAGCTCATCTCTTTTCTGCCTCAAATTATAGTGCAGCTGGTTCTCATATTCCGCTTTGCACAGGATTTGCCATTCTGTTTCTTTGTGCAGACGCTAGCATTTGTAGCATTCAATAAGGTTTGTGAACCAAGATTATAATGTTCTGTCCTGCTCAATTTCCAATTTGGATCCTAAATGAAGCTGTCTTATTATTTGCGTTCTTTAAGTTCCAGTTGGTTATCATTCCTTAACAGAAGACTTCGCTATCTACCTCTATAAATAATGTCATTTATAAGTAATTTCCTTTGACAGGTCATAACAGCGCAGTACTTTGTGTGGTTCTTCTGTCTGTTGCCTCTGATTCTGCCATGGTGCAGTATGAAACTTAAATGGAAAGGCTTGGCCTGCAATTTTTTGTGGATGGGAGCTCAAACGCATTGGTTAATTTGGGGTTATCTGCTTGAATTCAAAGGCAAGCATGTCTTCATTCAGCTGTGGTTGGCGAGTTTATTCTTCTTGGCTGTTAATACTTTCGTCCTTATCAGTATTATCCGCCACCACACATACTCCCCAGTATTTAAACGGTTGGAGCGTGTGGGTTCAAAGAAAACTTCTTGACATGAGTGAAAGAAGGGCAGCCTAATCATTGAGGGATGATCCTCTGCCTCACTGCTGCGTGCTCAACTTTAGGCTTACACTTCTGATTAATCAAGCTTTGTTCCCAGGCAGGATTCCTACCATGTATGATTGAAATGTTGGAGAGATTGTGATCAAATGAGTAGGGGTTTGGCTCCATTCTCGTGACCTATTCCTCAGCAAGCACTAAATCTTGCTATGGACTGTATACAAGCATCCAGCATACCGACTATCAGCTGGTTGTCTAATTTTTGACTATGCATTGTAATCTGTTATCATCGTCCTTTTTCCACTTCTTTTTAGATGTAATTAGACTAATATTTGTTGCTGAGTGTGATCGATTTCTAAGTTTATTTCTCTTTGTCACTCTTGTATTTTGTGAAATGGTGGGATGGTTGTATTGTAACAGTTCATAGGGAAGATCCAACTCGGTACAGGGTTCAAATGTATGTTAATTTCAACCAAGCAGAAGCACTTGTGTTATTGGGGAAGCTTTTTAGATCCAACCTTAAAATGCCCATTCTTCAGAGAACAGTTCTGAAGTGATCCTCATGCAGTCATGCTGCTAGTTATTTAGCATGGTCAGGACATTGTGCAGTTATAGGTCGCTTGTTTATAGATGGGTTGATTTGACTACATATAACTTATGCACACAACTATTTCAAACACGACCATAATACAAATTCTCTGTAATAAGATCTATTGTAAACGTTGAATACTAAATTGTCAACAATTTTCACCTTCCAAATTTTCATTTAAACCTTAAAAGATTAAAATGTGGGTCTTCAATCATAAAAAATAGCAATGCAGTAGGTTTTAATAGAAGTAGGTATAAAATTCTAATATAAAATACCTCTAATTAAGTAACATATAATTTTTTTGGTTAATATATAAATAAATTTATTCAATATAGAAACTACAATATAAAAAATTGTCGAAAAAAGAAACAGATATTTGATTTTGGATAATTAGATGGTTGTTTTTGTAATTAGAGAATTTTAATCATTTTGAGGAAAAACTAAAAATTTAAATATTGTTTAGGGGTCCCAAGTGTTATTCAGGCCAAAGTTTCTTTATTCTGGTGGACCGTCTCGGGTACTCTGGGCCTGGGCCTGAGCCCAAATCAGAAATTGCCGAATCCCCAATTCTCACGCGGGGTTTAGACCCATCAAATCCTCGGACAGAGAGAAGAGTGGCGAGAGAGAGAGAGAGAGAGAGAGAGAGAGAGAGAGAGAGAGATGGAAGGAGCATCGTACCAGCGATTTCCAACGGTAAAGATCAGAGAGTTGAAGGACGATTACGCGAAGTTTGAACTCCGAGACACTGACGCTAGCATGGCCAATGCGCTCCGGCGGGTGATGATAGCGGAGGTCCCTACAATTGCGATCGATTTGGTTGAAATTGAAGTGAACTCGTCGGTGCTGAACGACGAGTTCATCTCACACAGGCTCGGTCTCATCCCACTCACCAGCGAACGAGCCATGAGCATGCGCTTCTCACGTGACTGTGACGCCTGCGACGGTGACGGCCAGTGCGAGTACTGCTCGGTTGAGTTCCATTTGAGGGCCAAGTGCATGAATGACCAAACTCTAGATGTCACTAGCAAGGATCTATACAGCTCTGACCACACTGTTGTTCCGGTTGATTTCTCCGATTCCGCTGGCTCCGGCTTCGACAATACTGAGAATAAGTTAGTTTCTCTATCTATTTATCTATCTATCTCTGGTTGTGATGTTATGAAAGTCGTGTATTTTATATTTATGCTCATAGAAATTCTTATTATATTGGGTTTTAGTTCCTGTAATGAAGATGCAATTGATGAAGGTTTATGAGATTCATCTATTTTCCTTCTGTTTTTATAGTAATGCAGCCATGCGAGGGTTTTTAGCGTTTCCGAACACTGTCTATTTATTCGGGAAAGGTGAGAAGAAAGAGAAGGAATAATGCATGACTATTGTTTCTCATCAAAGGTTGCTGAGGAAGTGAAGGAAATGGGAATGATATATGGTTAATTGTGTCCTTATGAACTTCATGTGTATGATTTCCTGAGAAGAAAACCAGTTTGACTAATTACCACATCGGTTATACATATGGACAAATATTGGCGGCCAAATGGGGCCTAACCATGTTGAAAATGTTAACAGAAAAGCAAGGAAGCTGGGTTTGTGAACCTTATCATTGTTATTATTGTTCCCCTGGGTGTTTTGATGTTCAATAAGTGGAGAACTAAGCTCAGTTTGTATTGGGGTAAGGGAGGCCTCTCGGCCTGGGCACCGGGGCTTGTGTTTGGAGTGTTGATTGTTTTTTATTATAGGAACCGAATGACGAAAACTGAGCAACAAATGGAGGTGAAAACAATACAATCTGGTTTTTATGGCATTTTACTTCTAATGCTGATGGCTGATGGCTGACGGGAAATTGTTTTATTATTTTTTTAAATTGCTGTATAATAGATCAGTTAGGGATTTTTTTGAGCAGCCTAGTTTCAATCTTGGTTAATGTAATTAGCAGGAAACTTATTTTGTGATAACTTGACAGCATGTGATGGCTTGTTTTGTATTTAGGGGGATTATAATTGTGAAGCTACGTCGTGGCCAAGAGTTGAGGCTGAGAGCCATAGCACGAAAAGGTATTGGCAAAGATCATGCTAAATGGTCCCCCGCAGCAACTGTTACATTTATGTATGAGCCTGAGATCCATATCGATGAGGATAAGATGGGGACTCTATCATTGGAGGAGAAGGAAAGCTTTGTTGAAAGTAGTCCGACCAAGGTGTTTGCAATTGATCCTAATACCAAGCAGGTTAGTTAAAATTAGTTTGATTATTCATTTCGGTGGTTTCCTTGGGTTGAGGGTTTGAATATTATGTTAGATTATATATATGTTGCTTTCTTCTATGTTTTTTTATATGTTTGTGCATTCTTCATGGACTTCCAAAAGTTGCTTCGCTTCGGAGTTTTCTTTGGATGGAGGGTTTAATCTATCATGTTCGCTTTTATTCACGATGCTTTTGTTTCTTAAAAATTTCTGCAAGTACCTTTGACATTTAACCTTAATAAATTGCAAAATCTTATTGATGTTTTTTTTCGAAGGTAACACGACATTTAATATTGTTTATGCATTAGAAAGCATTTTCACATTTTTTACCCTACTATTTTTTTACTGAACTTCTGGAGTTTCAAGTGCATTAGGGAAATTACTTGTGGGTACATCAAAATTTGTGTAATTCTGGCCGGCACGACATGGGTGGAGGCGGACATACTGGTAGTAGACACATACACTCCATGAAACATACACTCCATGAATTTCTCGTGCTGGGTCAAAAATGTTGTGCTTAGTATGTTTCATTGACACTTCATTTATGCTGAGATATAAAGGAAGAAGCGAGTACATAGCAACAATTTAGCTATGCATTCAGTCATAGGATCTGAAATTTAGATGATATTTGATGCATAGGCACACTTCTTTACCTGCAGGAAGGATTGACTAATGGATTTATAAGGGCTTGCTTTCATTGTTTTTTCTTCTTGTTTTTGGATGAATGCTATAAGCAACTTCCCCATAAACTCAGGGTTGAGAGCGTGAACAAATGCATGTATTTTTCATTGTCTAAAAGCATCTCCACAAAAAGATTGGAAATAAGCAAATGTTGTAATATAAGAATTTTTTTTAGGTATTCACTTTTTCAAAAGCAAGATCTCTGAATCTGTTTTTAAACGTATTGCACCTTTTCAATTTATGATGGCAAAAAAATTGGTTAAAACATCATACTTCTGACTGTCCAACTCAACATTTGCTATTGTTTACCTATCTGGTTGCATAATCCCTATGCTGACCTCTTCTTCTCTTTGAACACCCAGTCCTTGCATAATAATTAAAGGACATAAATAGACAGAACAAAGAGGAAAAAGGGGAAGAGGTGTAAAAATTTCCTTGAACTAGAAGAGAGGGCGAACCATTGTCCCCGACAGGCCCATCACTTCAGCGGAAGAGAAACTCCCAATCTTCAGACAAAGATGAAAATGATTTCCGGTCAAATACTTCCTCGAGGGATTGATGCTAACTGGACAAACTGAGTTTAGCCTCGTTCGTGATGTCTGCTCTCGAAGAGAGTCCTATTTTTTGCCCAATGTTGCACATGCCCTCCATAGTGTTACCTAGTATTTATTACTTGATAGGAAAAGACTTAGTTTTGAAATGTTTAGGGAGAATTTTGTCCTTAGGTGCACTTTTAATGGCTTCTGGTGGCATCTCTCTTTCCATCAACAGCAAGACAACGGGGAATTCAGTTGTCTAAACATTCATACATAGAAAAGGAATCAAATCAAGGGGCAAACAACTTAAACTATGGACTCAATGGCTACTTTGTCTACATTATATGAACTTTAATTTTTAAGTGAGGTGTGTTAATCCTATGGAACTGATGCCAGTTGGGCCTCCTACCTCTTGGGAAACAGTCCTTAGGCTGCTCGACACCATAAGCTTCAGATTTGCCTACGATGGTAGCAGCGAGCATAAATGCAATTTCTTGGATGTGGATTCTGTTGTGGATTCTCAGCCTAGAATTTCTTCTTAATCTTGGAAAATCTAAGTTCCAGCGTGCACAATTTTGGGATTAGTCGGTCCCCAAAGTGGAGGAGTGGAATCTGGCTCTGTCATTCATTAAGTAATTCACTATATTTTAGTTCAGGGATGCCATGAGTGTGAAGATTCTTCCAAATTAAACGAGGATGTTGACTGGTAATATTTAGTATTATTTTTGTGGGGTTCTGTTTAGATGTTTATTCCACTGTGCTTAAGATTCCAAAAAGTGCATTTGATATGTTGTTAATGTATCCGGTGTGATTGCTAAGTATTTTATCCCAGGTTTTGGTGGTTGATCCTGAGGCATACACTTATGATGATGAAGTGATCAAGAAAGCAGAAGCAATGGGTAAGCCAGGACTTGTGGAAATACATGCCAGAGAAGACAGTTTTATATTCACAGTTGAATCTACTGGCGCAATCAAAGCTTCTCAGCTGGTGCTCAATGCAATTGAAATTCTCAAACAAAAACTGGATGCAGTTCGCCTTTCGGAGGACACTGTAGAAGCTGATGAACAGTTTGGTGAATTGGGCGCACATATGCGAGGAGGTTGATATGTTTGGCAGGAATCAACTTGCATTTTCTTTTTGTGACTTCCCTTCATCTATATGGAGAATTCCGGTGTTGTTTTGATTGGGATGAAACCATGGATGCTGATCGTCTGTAAGTAGTCCTTGAAGTTCTGGGAAACAAACAAATGCCTTAGCGACTATATTCTGCCTTAACAAACAAACAAACTATATTCTGTTGCTATTATTGCTATATCATGTCATTCACTTTGTTGCATTTCTTAAACGAATGGCAAATTTGTTGAAGCAACGAAATCGATTGCCATCACAAGCAATTCAAGGATTCTAGTTTCATAATGTGAATAGCCATGCTTTCTGTTTTTCATCAAGGAATCATTTGTGCTCTGCGCCCCTTTAGTCGGAGCGGGACAAAACTCAAAACTCCTCTGTTGTGAGCCTCCTTAAGAGCTTGTAGAGTACTACCACGAGTTAGAACAGTCTCACCGTTTCATTGATGTGTTGCTGACTGTCAAGCTTCTATGAAAGAATCTCTATTAGCTTTCTTGCCTTGGCACACCTAAGAGCATACATCCCCCACCCGGAGTCACTATGCGCTTTAACGGGGCATGATAAGATTTCAGTTAGTTGTGAAATGGATAAGCTTTCTTGATAAAGTGGGATAAAACAAGTAAGATTGGGTAATATATTCTGGGGGTTCACGTATCCCTTGTTTGGATCAACATTTGCTCGTGGGATACTCGTCGGGCTTGATTTACTCGGCCTGCATGAAATCTGCCTTTTATCCCGCCTGAACCAGACTCCATTATCCCACTTGAACTTTAGGATTAGTCAGCCCAACAATAGGATATACAGTGAATTTACATAAATGCCCTCCAACAGTACCATAATCTAGGGGTTTTTAGCCCATTTTGTCTCCTCTTCTTCAGGCTGGTCCCCTCTTACAGCAAACAGCAAACAGCGCTCATTGGTTTGTGGTTGCCGAATGTCTCTCTCTCTCTCTCTCTATATATATATATATATATATATATATATATATTTCAATGTAGATATATACATACATATATATTTCTATATATAGAAAAAAAAAGCTTCATTGCCACATTCTCCAATCTGGGTTTGTTTCAAATGCCTTGGTCACCATTGCTCTGATCAATTTCTTTTTGAAATTTGAGTCAGTGAATGATGCTCACAAATTGTTTGTTGAAATTCCTGAACCAACTGTAGTCTCTTGGAATTCTTTGATTTCTGGGTACGTGCATTCTGGGTATTTCAGTAAGGCTTTAAGGTTGTTCCTTCAGCTGGAAAGTTACGAGGTTCGTGCGAATTCGTTCTCATTCACGGCGGCTTTGGCTGCCTGTGGCCAACTAAGTTTATTGCAATTAGGAAAGTCAATTCACTCCCAGACTGTTAAATTTGGTGTGGAGTTTAGTATGGTAGTTTCAAATTGCTTGATTGACATGTATGGAAAATGCGGATCTGTATTGCAGGCCATTCGTGTGTTCTCCGAGATGATTGATAAGGATGTTATAACTTGGAATTCGGTGACCGCGACAGCTGCTAGAAATAGAAGACTTGAAGAAACAGAAGACTGGAAGATGCATTCAGATTTTTCCATCAAATGCCAAACCAGGATACAATCTCATACAACGAGCTTATGAATGACATTGGTCAGTTTGGCAACATAGAAGATGCTGTTGAAATTTTGTTGAATATGCCAAACCCAAATTCATCCTCATGGAATTCGATAATAACAGGATTTGTAAACAGGGATCGAGCACTAGACGTGCTGGAATTAACTTGTATTCTAAAATCACCGTGTAATAGTTGAAATTTTACAATACATAAGCATTCTTATATTTTTCACAATATTAAAGTGATAATCAACAATTCTCAAGCTAAAAATGAGATAGGATTGAATAGGATTAAAGGTTAAAATAATCAATTAATGTCAAAGTTATTAGATGTTTAATAAAAAATTATAGTTTGTCCATATTTTAACCACATCATACATCACTATCTAAAGCAGGGATTGGATAACACAAATTACTTTTATCCCTCTATAAATCCGGCTCATTGAAATTTCATTAGACAGATTTGAAATTTAAATCTAATTCAGTCCAATACATCCATAAATTGCCAAAGTGTATAGTAAGTCCACTTCCAATGTGGACACTTTTTGCTTAGGGTTTCATGGGGTCCATGCTGCACGCCTGAACTAAGTCCATTATTTCAAACTGGGACCGCTGGAGGATGTCAACTATATTTGAGTGGTGTAAAATCAGCATACCATTCATTCATTGCAGCGGACCAATCTATCCAGCTGCATATAATTGGACTTGACTACGGTACTATAATAAATTAATTTTTATATTTATTATTTTTGTAAGTATTTTTATTATTGTTGTGAATATTTTTATTATTGTTGTGGTATGAAAAAAAAATGGTACAAACAAACTTAATTTGGTACAATTTTTTTGACACGAATTAATAAACAAATTAATTATAAGTGGTATTTTTTTGACAAAAACATATTATTACCCAATAGGGACACAATTGAGAAACCTAATTATTATAATTCCTGATTGACCCTAAATTATATTATAATTTTACCTAAATTAACCGCATAAATAGATAATTATAAAAAAGTAATACTATATGAACTTAAAAATTAGATTTAAAAAGTAAATTTGATAATCACAATTATTGAATAGGTAGTAAAGTCTACTTTTTAAGTCCACATATCATTGCTCATTATAAAAACACACAAGCATAGAGCAACTCCAAACACGTTAGCCAAAATAGTTAATCAAAATATATTTAAATAATGTAATTTCTATTTTAACTAGTCATTTTTATAAATTTATTATGACCACACCCTTTATTATAACTAACTATTTTAATTAGTTTTAACTATTTTTTAATAATATAATTAAAAATTACAATGTAGCACCCATCCACCTCAAATAACAAAAAATCAATTGCACCAAAATTTGCATGCCACCTTGGAGACGAAGCACGAATTGAAGTTTTTAGAAGGTATGAAGATATAAATCTCCGGCAAAATCAAAAAGTTTTTAGACGGAATAAATCAAGAAGAAAAAATCTCCAAAAAAATCAAAATAGATCCAAATCACATATCTGAGAAGCATTAACGAATCCAAAGAGGAATTGCAACGATGACGGCTGTTAGGATCACTTCCACAATTGTTAATTTGCGAAGGCGACGGCAATTGTGAAGTAATCTCAGTTTGTTTACTGTTCTCTTTGCCAATGGCTTTGATTACTACATCTTTACGATCACCCAGATCAGTAGACTGTGAGGCCATGGGATGTTCACTTTGGTTCAAGAGAATTTGTCGTTCTTTAGGGTGCTTTGTGGAGAGGCTAGCCGAAAAAAATGAGCTTTGTGGGAAGAATGGCGAGGAAAAAATTGCTCGCCAGAAGTAGCGAGGAGAGAATGAGTTATGAAAAATAGTCGGTTTGAATACATAGCATGTTAGAATAACTAAAAATTTATCTTTACCGAGTTCCTTGGAAATGGTTTAAGAGCAACTCCAACAATACTATCTAAATTAGTTGCTCAAAATATATTTAAATATTATATTATTTATTTTAACTAATCACTTTTTTAAATTCACTCTAACAACGCTATCTATTTTAGCTGATCACTTCAACTAACTTTTAATAATAAAATTAAAAAAATAACAATTTAACTATAAATTATATAAATTTAATCAATTATAGGCTACAAGAGTAAATATCATAAAATACTTGGGGGGGTTTTGCTGGATTTAAGAATTTTTTTGAGAGTTTTGTTGAATTTTTGGAGGAATTTTATTAAATTTTGGGAGAATTTGTTGGATTTTAATCGACTTATCGTCTTCCCCGGAGAGAGAGAGAGAGAGAGCATATATGGTGATACAAATTAATGATGAATCATCCGACCAAAAAACAAAAAAACAAAAAATTCTGATGAATCAAAAATACAGAAACCCATATTTGATTTGAGCTCCAAAAAATGGAATCAAAAGGGTTCAATACGGATTTTTAGCCTGAACAAAGAGATACCCTTTAACCCTTTGTCCTTTAACAAATCAAAAACTAAATACTAAGATTTTGTAAAAATTGGTCACCATAGTACTGAAACATTTAAGTAAATAAGTTCATACACAAATTCATACATAATTTAATTTATTTGGTTAATGTCATCACCAAAAGTGTCTGAATCTCATACCTGCTTTGAAAACTATATACAAAATTATCTGTAAGAGAGAGGACTAATTTGAACTAGTTGTATCTGGAGCTTACGTGGAGTAAGGATTTTGGCACAAAAAATGACATTTGATGATGAAGTAGTTAGCCGAGAAGGTCACCAGAACAGATATCAGATTATGAAAAATACCTAGCGGAATACCTAAGCCGTTAAAACCAACATTTTCGATCTGACTATCTACGATAGCTAAAAATCCCCTTTTACTTAGGCCCTTAGAGTTGCTATAAGACCAAGAAAGCCAAACCACCCCAATACAAACCATCAGCAGCCAAATCTATTCTCCCCTTCCACTCTAAATCCTCCTTGATCACTCTCATCAACCATGGATTCTTCTGGGAAACTCGAAATTTTTTTCTTCCCTTTTGTCGGCGGAGGCCACTTGATCCCTATGATCGACCTTGCTAGACTCTTCGCATCTCACGGCGTCAAAGCCACCGTAATCACCATCCCCAACGACGCCCTCATCTTCCACAAATCGATCAACAGAGACCAACTCTCTGGCCACGATATTCACCTCCACACTCTCCGACTACCCGCCACCACCCAACCACCACCCCTACAACCACAGTTGTCGCCTTCATCACCTCCACCACCGCCACCGCCACTGCCACCGCCATCACGGCCATTGATGTCGTTGCCGTCTCCACCGCCACCACCACCACCTCAACCACCACCAACCCACCATTGTTAACGCCACCGCCATCAATGCCGCCACTGCCGCCATCACCATCGTCGCTGTTGCTGTCATCGT